GATATTCATCTTTGGTTCATCATATCCTCGCGCATCATTCTCTTTACAACTCGATGACAATGCGAAAGTTAAGGTTCAGGTTATTTGTATGTACTCATAACGTTCTTCTCTAGCTGTTCCTAGAAAAAAAAGCAGATAGATACTGCATAAGTCAAGTTTTATGTTCAACATTCGATTTCAGATTGATCGGTATTAAAAAAGTTGTATATCTCAAAAACTAAACAATATTAGTGGATAGTTATTTTATTAAATTCAAGAGCAACTAAAATTTTACAGATGTAGTAAGTTGTCAGTATATCAACTCTTGTGAGAAAAAGTGTGAAGAAGTCTTGAAAAAATACAAGCACTCTTGTCCATTCCACACCCACCCTGCTAGATAAACCTTCAGAGCTTCTTAGCTGAGCAAAATAATATTTCTGCTTCGATCTTGTTTTGTACAAGACATTTGCAACTATTTACCTATGGAAAACGTTTGAACTATCAACTAGTTTTTCAGAGCTCCTCGAAAGAAACTAGGTTTGGAAATTTTTTCAAGAGTTAGTTTGCTTATGAACATATGCAGTACAGTATCCTCTCTTGTTTGCTGCAAATGACAGATCTCTATTTATCAGTTCCTTAAATTTATTTGAAAAATGATCAGAAATCTTCTTTTTTTTTTAGATGAAGAGTAGAATAAAGATGTCTAAACAACAATTGATATGGTAATAGAGATGGAATATATAACTTTTTTGGTCGTTTGATATTATAGTGAATGATAAGGAACTAAAATACATATTCTTTTTGAAAATTTTGAATGGAAAGAGCAAATATAGAAGAGATTATGCGATATTTATTTTGATTGTGATGGACAAGAGTGACTCTATTTTTTCAAGACTTCTCAACACTTTTTCTCATGAAAATTGAAATACTGACAACTTACTATGTTTGTAAAATTTTAATTGTTCTTGAATTTAATAAAATAACAATTCACTAATATTGTTTAGTTTTTGAGATACACAGCTTTTTTTAATACTGATCAATCTGGGATTGAATGTTGAACGTAAAATCTGACTTATGCAGTATCTATCTGTTTTTTTTTCTAGGAACAGCTATAGAGGATTGTTATGAGTATACATAACTAATCGAAACCTTAACTTCCACACTATCATGGAGTTATAAAACTAATAATGCCCGAGGATATGAAGAACCAGGGATGAATATCCGATCAGAGTAAACATCGATCTGATAGAAAGATTAAGTATTTGAGTGAATGTGTTGTGTGGAAAATCCTCAACGTCCAGAGAACGTCAAAGTTAGATGCATGGTTGTTACTCTAGAAGGTCTTGCAAGTGACCTATTAATAGTGAATAAGAAAAATAAAAAAATCTGGATATTATGTCGAATTCGCTAAGTTTTAATGTTACCCACTGTTCTCGATAACGAATAGGAATTACGGAAAAAAAATGCAATTTATGCTTTTGTTCTTCATGTCAAGGCAATTCTTTTGGCGTATGGATAAGTGCAATAGTTTTCAATGCAAAAAAACTAAATATGTTTCTCATCAGAGTCACTCATCTGGTATAGTTAATGCGAGAACTTTTTTGCTGCGTAGAGCCTGAAAAAAACCAGTTTCTTGAAACTCAGGATTTGATTGAAAATCTGCAAGAAATCATTTCAAAGCAATAGAAAGTTACGAAGAAGATTTCTGTAAATATCCCTAAAACCGAATGATTTTTTGCCTTTTTAAGACCTCGCAGTAGTACCTTACAAAAAATAACAAAGAGCAATAAAATTAAAAATAATGGAATTTTCACCTTGTCTCTGACATTAGAAGACTATAATTTTACTGATGTTTTGTTCAAGAGGTGAATCTTGACAGGAAATCGATAGTCAGATTATAGTAACTGTCCGTAATCGTTTTCAGATAAATGTTACTTACTTTGAAAGAGACTTTAGCTCAATACGTACTGAATGAAAATTCTCAAGTTGAGAAAAAAAAATGGTTCTCATATTATCACTGTCAATGACTTTACAATTGAATATACAGGAGATGTCGTATTTCTTGAAAATGTCTATGAATCTTGGATTAATTTAATTTGATTCTTTATTTGAGACTACATACTATTCTTAGTCGATCGAAAAAATAACACAATGGGTAGATGCATCAAACATTTTCTCTATAGTATATTTAAGCGTTCTATGTGACTCTTTTCTTGTTGTATCTATTCAATGAAAGCATCAGCGTGTCTATTATAAAAGAGAAATGTAACAGCTCGTCTAAATACTTCAACCATTGTGTTACTTTTTTTTCGATCAACTAACAACAGCGTGTGACCTCGAATCAAAAATCAAATTACATTTATTCGAAATTCATAGGTCTCTTCAAAAAAATATGAAACAAAATTACATCTACAATGTTGAGGTATGCTTCATAGCTTGCACCACATCATCAGTGACATATTTCTCATGCATACACCTCGATCACATGTATTGTATCATCAATCATTATTCTAAAGAAACCTCGTAGTAGTTAATAATAATATGGAAGAGAAGTATCTTTCGACTAATTCTTGACGTTATATTAGAATCGATAACCCCTACCATTTCTTCTTCTCATTCTATTGTAGTTCTCTGCGCAGAATTGAATTCTATTCGATGCAATAGATCAGTGAATCATTCAAAACGTTTCCAATATGCACATATCTATTTTTCTCATATAGTAGTTAGATTGTTCGTAAAAGAAATCAGTCTACATGGAAAAAAAATAAAAATTTGCTTATGAAATCAGCAGTCTATATTCTTTCTCATTATGTGATTTGTATAAATTCGATAGATCTAACAAAAATAGGTTCTGATAAACCTTTTATAGTTTAGTCCAAATAAATACTTTCTTCTAAAAATAATTAAATACAACAAGCTTCTTGTATATGAGTAAATATATTAACAGATTAAAAATACAAACTCTTTGAATATCATCATTATCTGCAACATCGTTGAATATAAGAGCGTGAAGTATGTATCATCGCTCTCTCGATTATATTCGGAATCGATCAAAGATCATTTGCTGATAGTGACCAACTCTATCTTTTTCATGAATAGAACGACGAAGAGAATAAGAAAAAGGGCGATGATGCTCATACTTGTTTGCTTTCGAACGACACATGGAAAATGTTTTCTGAGTAATATTAGACGAATATCTTTCTTTTTATCTATTATCAACGTAAGTAAAAAAAAAAGCAGAACGAAAAAGAGAGCCAAATAGTGGAAGAATATGTGCGTATTTATCCAAGTGTGAATGCCTGTATCACCATTTTTTTTTCGAGCACGAAAACGACGCATCCTTCTGTGTATGATTGTCATCTATCATTGGAAAATCAAGAATTGATAGCAAATAGCATATTGATGTTTGTCGTTGCAATAATATCTGCGTACTACTAACGAAAATCATAAGAATGAAAGATAAATATTAGAAATTTTCTGCCATGTAATACTTTTCTTAAACAGGATGAGCATAACATCAGCATAAAAAAGGATCGCTATCGTTAAACAAGCTTCAGTGTCACAAAATGTCAACTAACAATCATACTTGTCTCGCTGAAATCAACATTTCGATAATCTTCACTGACTTTTGAGGTGAGACCATTTGATCCGGTGACGAATAGTCATTTGGACGTGGAAAAATGAACGAAATATTCAGTTAATATACGAGGATAAGCACCAAAATTAAGCATTTCATATCAATCCAAGATCTTCTGACAATGGGCAGATAAACAAGACACATATTGTCAGTTGATGGAAATTTCCTCGTTGATCTTCTTCAAACAATCGATAAGTCAAGATCTTTCATCTAATTGAAGACCAATCTTTGCCATGCATTAAGCAATTAGACAAGAATAGTGACAGAGAATGAGTCGTTTTATTCACGCTCGATCCATTGTATTTGGGTGGATCTTCCACCCAAGCTAGCGTATGAGCGTGAGATGAACTACGAAATTGTATTTCGATTCTAGAAAATCCATCCTGTATTTTTCTTAAGCATCATGCGTCATCTTTGATGAATAAATTCATAAAAACATTAAACTGACGTTCAAACATTCGGGTTTGACCTTATCATTCCAGCAGTGTCCAAGGACTGAGAAATAGGAATTCCTAATTTGTAGAGGAATTGTCAGTGTAGCTATGATAATTCCTTGGGGAAATGAGAATTGATCATTATTTCCATCACAGTTCCCTCATTCGTGAAAGTTAAGATAATGCTTTTTTTGCAATAATTTTCGTACTCATACGTTCATGTGCACAAATTTCTTGATAAAAACGAGTGTAAGAGTAATAAATACCGTGGATATTGTATTTTTTTAATTTTAGCATTCAAGGAAATGTCAGGGAACTAAGTAGGAATTCCTATTCCTCAGCCCTTGGACACCCCTCGTCACCATGGACAATATCTATAGCGTAGCTTCTCTAAATCGATTAAAGTCGTGAATTTAATCGGAGATCAAAATAATCAGATTACAACCACGGATGTATATGATGAATTATAATACTAATCAATTAAAATGGTCACTGTAATCAGAAATCAGATTATAATCCGTGATTATTCTGATTCATTTTTCTAATAAGCGATTAAAATCGTGAATTCAATTTAATTAATTCACAAATTGATGAAAACAAAATCTGATTTTGATGATTTTCTAACAAAAGATCGATTTTAATCTGATTTTACTGTCAATCATTTTTACCTGGGATACCAGCATGTGCCGATTTTAGATAGAAGAGTCGCTAGTGCTGATGGAATTACGCTTTATTTGACTTGGTATGATTAACCGTATCGTTTACATACAAAGTACACCCTTATATGCACAACTAGGAGAAAAGGATAAGTCAAGAAAAGAACAGTAAGATAAGAACAATAAAGTAAGAATAGAAAGTAAAGACAATAAAGTAAGAATAATCCATATAGAAGAGAGCACATGGTAAGGGAAGGTTACACATCATGCATACAATACACTCAACCAGGAGTGTCACACAGCAGAAATTTTCCAATATTGTCCAGTCTGAGCACCGGTTGCAGCAAGTATAGGCCTATTATTAGTACCATCATTAACAATATCAAGAGATTTACCATCACCTTGCCATTGTGTTGTTAAACGATAATATCCATTTCCAATTGGAGTAATCTTCCAATATTGTCCAGACAGAGCACCGGTTGCAGCAAGTATAGGCCTATTATTAGTACCATCATTAATAATATCAAGAGATTTACCATCACCTTGCCATTGTGTTGTTAAACGATAATATCCATTTCCAATTGAAGTAATCTTCCAATATTGTCCAGTCAGAGCAGCGGTTGCAGCAAGTATAGGTTTATTATTAGTACCATCATTAATAATATCAAGAGATTTACCATCACCTTGCCATTGCGTTGTCAAACGATAATAAATGTTTGGGTTAAAACCATCCGGTTCAGCTAAAGTATGAATGATAAAAATATAGAATTTACTGCTAAGAGTGATTGTATCATTGCTACTGATGACCTGAAAACATTAGTCTTCAACTGTATTAGCTTGTTTTCTCCAATAAACGATTCCCAAATTTATTTAACAACAGTACTCGTCCAAATATGATGGACCCTTGAAGGCTATTTAGCACAGGGATCACATTTCTTGTCTCATTCGACACGATGGTGATACTGGGGTTTCTCAATGTGTCTCGCATACGAGTCATTTGCTAGCGGGTATGCCTTCTTCATTCCCGATACTTATATATAATATCTATAGGAGCGACCTTTTACTCTGTCATCATTTATTGTTTAAAGTTTCTAGTATTCATCCATGTTGTGCCGATTATGCGTTTTTTTTTCTATTCTATTCATCTCTCATACTTTGAATCTGTCTTTTTTTTAACGGTGTAAAAAAATGAACACCTTTCCTACACCGTTTCATCGTTACATAAATTGACTTGGATATCGTGATTGACAAATACATGAATGATTCCCACCACTTCAGTGTGTCAGTACAACCACAAGAGAAATTGCTGAGCTTCAGCGATCGAAAGCAAGAATGTCTGAACCCAAGTGAAACTGAAAAATTCAGTGTTTCAACTCGTAGATGAACTAGAAAGTGTGACGGCGCGTTTTCAACGCTAAGTAGCAGAACGAATACCAGCATGAACTCCAAGCAAAACAAAAGCCAACAAACAAGTCCCTCTTGGGCATGTGTGCGATGTGTCTCTTCAGATTCTCAGTCACGCCAACACTCACAAGTGTGAAACTTGGCAAGAAATACTTTAAGCATCGCAGTACATGCAGGTGCCACGAAATACTAATACATAGGTGTCGTACCTTATGAGTACGTTGTAATTAGGGGTGATAGACTTCGCCTTAATCGAGGCTTGGGTCAAAATCATTATCATCTGACTGATCTGGTGTTTCGGCGAAAAATAAAATTCATTTCAGCATTTCAATTGAAGACGAAAGCGCATAAGCTCATATTTTGGACCATATTTTTTCGAGGTGAAGATACGAAAATTATAGAAGTTTGTAATGATTGAGTTGGTGAGCCTAATGATGTGTAAATTTTGCCAAAAATTCTCAAATTAGAGGTACTTGTACCATTTATAAGCTTACCATAATTGTCATAACGTGAATAAGAGTATGAGTGTTGTTTCTGAGAGAAAGTCAGAGGTTGATGAACCTGTTAATTCTAGCAAAATCCTATGGCTTTCCTCCAACTACAAAAAATTCGAATTTTGAATATTGACTTGAAGCTTTTTACAAATAAAGATCTAAATGAGAGTAGCTTATTATGAAAATTTCAACTATTGTGGTTGTAGTTATCGTGAGATATGAGGTCTCCTTTCTATACTGAAATCAATCGTTCAGTATTCCGATTTCAAGTTAGGAACAACCAAAATAGTTGAAGTTTTCATAACAAGCTACTCTTATTTAGACCTTTATTTGCAAAAAGTTTCAAGTCAAAATTCTAAATTTGAATTTTTCGTGACTTAAGAGGGATCACAGGGTTTTGCTAAAACTATACAATAAAAGTTCAATATCTCTGAGGCACAAAGGTATTGACATCAACCTTCTTTTAGCTTATGCATAACTCCTAGGGACCGTCATCATGCACAAGGTCTCGATGCAAAAGCAATCGGACACCTGGAAATGTTACCTCATAAGACACAGCCAATCTGTAGCAACGCCGAAGTCAGCTGAAAAAGGTCGGTGGGTGAGTATGAATGAGGGTGACGACAAAATCCACATTCACACCCATAAGGATCCCACATCCACACTCTGTTTGAAAATGTACGTTACTTATCTCAATGCTAATATAATGAAATCAAAGCAAATCGAAACTTCTGTTGCCTGTCTTAGATTTGGATAATTTTTGGCTTGGCTCACATGTCTTGCTCCTATTTTTTTTGAGAGAATTTTTTGTATTTTGGGTAGTAGGAACATCTTTTCTTCTGATCAACAGTTTAATTTCATATAGTTTTTCTCATGTGATACAGCAAGTACGAGAAAATGTCTCTACACACTAAAATAAAATGTGTGGCACTTATGTGTCGTGAACTTGAGCGTAAAAATGTGTCGCGATTAGGATGTCTCGTATAAAAATTTGTCGCATTCTGTTTGCTGACCATCTACTCACCATTTTGTTATGCATACACAGTTATATGTAGACAATACGATTGAACATAAGAAATATACATTTTAAAAATAATTTTTTCTAGATTATCATGCCGCTCTTGATCGATGATCGAGAGAGGACTACTCTGAAGCGGTCTGATGGAGATCAGGGTAACTCAAAACTGAACACGTCCCAAGATCTGGCCTGCTTGAGTTTTCAGAATCGGAATAATTAAATGGAATCAAATTGAAAAAAATATCATGATACACTTTTACAGAAAAAAAATGAAAAATACGCCGAATGATAGGTTCGAACCACGCATTCAGAATGTGTCGTGCATCGTGTCGCAAATCACGATACTAATATCTGAAGAAGGTCTTCGTGTTTCGATTACAGCGTATCCAGAAATCAATATTTTTTCGATTAAAATCGCATGTATCGATAGAGAACTGTTTGATCGTTTTTTAAATAGAAAAAAAAGTAGATGCGAGTAGATGCAGAGGAGTGTAGAATCTGTATTTCTTTGAAAGATTTCAAAATAGTGATGGATATTAGATAAAACACTCTAATTTGCTTTCTAAGTCTCATCGTAAGAGCAAGATGCAGCTTACTTGTTGGAGGTAATGTAATTCCTGTTCCATCACACCCATAGAAGAGTCGAACTTTTTGAATATCAATTGCACTTAATGTTTTAGGCTCTGCGAGCACAACACCAGATTGAAGTGGCACAATTGTATCCAAGCCGTTTTTAGTAAATGCGTCATGACGATAATGCAGCAATGAATAATAATCATAGGGTGTGTTTTGTGTGTCGACTTCCGTATTGTCACGTTTTCGAAAGGCGAATAGCAAATCTGTATGATCATAGAATAGGCCCATTGTTATATGAAATGCTCGAAAGAGCAGTGAACAAGAAGAGTTTACCTGGTATGATATTTTCCTCAATGATTCGAATATAGTTGTCACGATCAGGACGCGCCTGTTCGTGTTCGAAACCTATTTGGTGAAATAGAGAATAACAAGTCAAATCAATAGTGAAACACAAGATAATGTATTCATCTTCAGTTTAGGAAATAGAATCGTTCTACTTCTCTTTTTTTGCTATGGTAGCAAGAATGTGGAACTTCAAAGAGCCGGCTCTTCTGTTTGATACTTGATAATGCTCATAAACAGTTCCAATACTGGCTCCGTTTTACTCGGAATCATATCGTCTATCAATTATCCTTCGAAGACCATGAATCATGCTTTCGAATAATAAATACGGTGTAATGTTTAAGATGAGTTCAGCGAAAAGATTGATCTTAAATCAGTTCTGTCGTACTTTCCTCCATTCACATTCATATGTTCATTATCACACAGTATTCAAGGATTGTTCAATCACATAAAAAACAACCTTTATTACTCTATCATGACTTCTTAAACATCATAATGTTATCCAATTACTATGAACTTTTTTAACGATACTTTCACGATTACTACTAGATCATGAAAAGTTTTATATAGTCGAATGAAATCTCGATTGATACAACAGCATGATATATAGATGATACGTGGTTGGACAGAAAGGAACTCCTCAATAATGATCACTTCCTTCTTGTTCTGAAGAAAAAGAAATGAATCGTGTGATTAAAAGGAAAATATGAAGTACATATAAATGAGTTATCATTTTCTTCTTTGTTTTAGCCGTTCTAGATCAATCAACTGATTGAGTTCTGTTTTGTTCCATCCGTATCTTCAACTTCTTACATACTTTGATGCGAAACCTCTCAAATGGATGTTTGGTTTTGAAAATAGTGATTCACTATTGTACAGCAGGTTAACAGCTGGAAACAGACTGGTATAATCGTACCAATCTTTCCTGTATATAGGTAGACCGATTTTGTCCGGTGCGGACTAGTATTTAACCACCACACGATTAGGAGCACAACATCACTTTTGATAGTATTTCTGTGAAACATTTTACTATTCAAAGCTTTATCCTTTCGCTGAATTATGAAATATATAAAATTGGTTGTTTTATATGTTATAAGAGAAATAAACTGTTAAATCATAATCAAAGTGTAGTACAAACTGTAGCATGTGTCGCAGAAGAGGAGAGGGAGAAATGAGGAAGATGAGGGAAAAGATATTCTAGCTGTACATCACTGTACTTAACGAAAGTTAATTACCATCACTGCTCAGTAAGATTATCGGCTAATGAAAAAGTTCGTGCATTTTGATTTTTCATCACAAAAAGTCCATTTTATGAACATAATGATTTTCTATAAAGTTTGATTGAAAGTTTTCAGAGTTGAGGAATTCGATTCTGTAATTAGTTTCGCGAAATGTTCTAGTTGCTTTTTCACTTTGAAGATGAAGAAAAATGATTGGCCAAATTTTAAGAATGATGAAATCTGATCGGTCGATAATTGACTAGTAAGATTTCTCTATGCTTAATATTCACTCGATCTCGAATACGAATTCTAAATTAAACTTTATATGGAATCGTTATTTTCGTAAAAATAGACTTTTCTTAACAAAAAAATCAAACTCCGTGAGCATTTCCATTAGGCGATGATATAACTGATCAGTAACAATACCTTCTCTCAAGAACTTATGCTTCACTGTACTCCAAATTGTGTTTGTAGTAGATGAAGTTTTGCCTTTTCCCCATTCACATGTATCCCTAAAGTGTGATCGGCATCGCGTCGGTAATTATCAGTAATTTACTAATATAAAATTTCTCGACGTCAATGTGATGATATAGTGTGAGTGGGTGAGGTGGAAGACAAGGTTATCACATGCTTACCCTCAACTAAACCAACTCACGCCTTGCTGTCTATATATCCATCAATCAAGGCGTCCACATATCCTCATCTACATCCACTCTCAAATAGCGAAGGTGCTAGATGAGAGAGATATATCACTTCTGACTTCCTATGATCTTCACAAGGAATATTCAAAAAATAGAATTTGTGTTCAACGTACCTAAGGTATGTAAGAATTCGTGCATGATGGTTCCTAGATAGATGCAGCCAGGACTTTTCAAAGACACTCTTCGAGTCATCGTCACACCTGTATTTTGACCAATCTATATTTTTCAAAGACATATGCACGAATTCAACGTTTGTTTGATGTCGTAGAAAACTTACAGGGGACGAGCAGTCAGCTCCATTTTCGATGACAATGTAATATTGATCCGATGGTTGACGCGGTCGAAACAGAACGCATTGTCGATTGTTTACCGCCACCAATCTTTCCAATTCTCGCATGGCATTGATTATGGTTGTCTGATCTCCAGTACCTACAAGAACAACAACCAACATTTTAATAAGACACGTACGACGATGATTGATGTGGGAATATTTCAACAATGCTAATTCACTCAATAGTTTCCTTAGTACTAAGTCAACGTCGATCTGATAAATTGTGGCGAAACATACTAAATCCTGATTTGAACTCGTATGGAACAATACCATTTGGCCAACGTACATTATTTCCGCGCTGCAATACACCACGCTAGAGTCGAAATACATAGAAATAAGTCAAGCATTGTTTATATTACAATTATCATGAGCAACTTACGCCTCGTAACGGAAGTACTATATCACCTTCGAACAAGTAAGCTTCAAAGAAAAAAAAAACAAAGTCACCATATGTAGAGATCGCGTCACAGCATGTAAAGGCGAGCATTTGTTATCCAATAGTATATTCGACCCATTTTTCTTCATGGTAGTCAGCGAGTCAATAATTAGTGGTTATGTAGAAACATCCTCATTCATATTGTGTAAGCAAGCATAGTCATTCAGCTAAACGCTGAACAAATAATTGGTTAAGAAGAAACATGCATCCCCGTAGGTATTTTTTTTTGTTAATTTATTGTAAACATAGTTCTATGAATTTCTTACGTGATTCGAATGGATATTTAGATTTCACATTTGACGCCTTAAAAAATGATCATATTAGGCATAATCTTTGAAATATGAGCTTGAAATTCACAAGTGAACTCACCACATTGATTGGTGCTGCATGTGCACAAGCAACGATCATCAGAACAGTGATCCAGAGAAAATTGTTTGATGACATCGTTTATTTCGGAGTAGGTCAAGGAAAAGACACGTTCTTCAAATGTAACTGGTATTATATTCGTTATCGGAGTAGAATACGATTGCAGAAATATTCTAGAAAATTGTTCGATGATTATTTTTTACCGTTCTCGTCAAAAAATAACAAAAAGCTCTGATGAATTTTGTCAATATAATTAGTTGGATGTGGATGTGAATGTCGTTATGTTTGTGTGAGTATTCTTCTCACCCACATCCAAATACCACAACCATCCACACCTACCAGATTAGTGGTTCTACTTGAGAAGACAAAAACTCGTTGGATACTCATGACTATTAAGGCCTTACGAAGAGACTCCATTTTCGATCGACATACCTTTTTTCGTTGTATTTGTATGGAATATTGTGAACCCACTATCACAATAACAGTGTAATGTATCAACTTTGTTCTATGTGTGAGACTGAAGTAGTATGTTGATTATATATATATATGTCGCGAAACAAGCTTTGCTTTTGTATATTCATTCGTATATGTGACTCAACTGAGCATGATGCTTTACCTTGGTTTTTTTCCCTTAAAAATACCGTCATTTTACTCGTTCTCTATCAAGTATCACTCGAGTAGCTTCATGAAGACAATAGAAAGTCGATCAAATTATCGATAAAAAGTGCGTCATATAACATCCTAATTCAGCTAATCCCCACTTGTTACGCAGGGACCTTTTTCACTCGTTGCACATGATTCACAAAATATTGATGACTTGCTGGCAATGGCTTCTCAATGTTATGAAATTCATTCAAAAAACTAGGACGAGAATCAGATTATAATCGATTATGATTGTGTAGGTAAGGTTGAGATTTAGGCAAAATTAAACAGAATTTTGAAAAGATTCAAAAATGAAAAACAATTGAAGCAATGATTTCAAAGAACTAATGTTATGTATTTATGTTAAGCTACATTCAATTTTAATTGAAGTCTAGTTAATTGTAAGAAGTTGTAGAGTTTGCCAGTGTTGTCTGTTGAAATCTATTGTCCATTTCAAAATATAATGTCCTTCGCTGTTTTTTGAATAACTCAAGAATACTAGCAGCTAGATACCTGCGATTTTCACCAATCGAAAGAGGAGATCGGGGGACGTCTTTTTCTCCAATAATGTATAAGAAGAAATCCTTTTAAAACTAATTATTTTCGAAAAACATGTAAATGAAGGCATGAAAATGATCTGTGATATAGATGAAATTTTGATTTTAATCTTTGATTTAGATAGAGGGATCTCAAATCTATAGATCAAGATATAATGCGTTTTCTTACTTTTCATTATACTTTCATCAAAATGTCATGCTATTATGATAAAAAGTGAGAGAACTTAGTAAAAAATTAGCAAAAAATCCTGTTATTCGCTCAATATTAGAGTGTAATAAGAGAACCAATTTGCATTGTATCTTGAACTATAGATTTGAGGTCCCTCTATCTAAATCAAAGGTCGAAATTAAAATTTCATCGGTATCACAGGTCATTTTCATGCCTTCATTTACATGTTTTTCGAAAATAATTAGTTTTAAAAGGATTTCTTCTTATACATTATTGGAGAAAAAGACGTCCCCCGATCTCCTCTTTCGATTGGTGAAAACCGCATATCTCTAGCTGTTTGCGTTCTCGAGTTATTCAAAATACAGTGGAAGACATTATATTTTGAAGCGCACAATAGTTGAGTTTTGAAAGCTGAAAAATTTGAAATAATAGACGATACAAGTTGTTTGAATATAAGTTAGTTTCAGTTTTTCAATGAAGTTATTGGCGTATTTTTTACTCTTCTGGTCATTTATAGTTACGCGTCTTTTTATATAAGTAGTTTTTTTTATTCTGATGTTTAGTAATGCGTTCTGTTTATTCAAAGAACGCTTGATAAATATATTTATGTGAACATAGTCTTTCTTACGATCCAATATCAATAAAACACTAACAAAAAAAAATACCGATAAACAAAACTATTTTGCAACAAGTGATTTATATAACGTACGGTGCAAAAGTAATGGCACAAAATGTTGATCCATATTTTTCTTCGATAGAAGGAGACTGAAACAAAACGTTTTTTAACCAAAAGATAGAGCTTCTTCTGCTCTTCCGGATTGTATATAATTTATTGTTTCTATCATGTCTATAAATGAAATAACATGACAAAAAAGAAGTATACCATCGAAAACATTATGCACTTTTTTATAAAAAAGCAACAGAAAATGTCGACCTTTATATTTCTTCAATAAACACGCTTCGAAAAGAAAATTTTATTACCAATCGATAGGAAATTTTCTTCTCTTTCGAATGGTATACAATTTGTTTTTTCATTTGCATTCCTCAATGAAATGAAACAAGAAAAAGAGGGAAACATCTGTACATTAATTTTGCAATTTTTGTACGACCATGTCAAAAACTATAGTAGACGATGATAATTTGGTTCATTTTGTACTCATTAGAAAGCCCTTGCAAGACACCAGTTAATCACATGCTTACGAACTTTTTGAAGCTATCTTTTAGATCAGAGTTAACTATGATTAACTGCCATCTAGAAGATGTTTTTGACAAGTTCATAAAAAAACTCCAAATTCATTGTGAGTGTTTTCCTATTTTTCTTGTTTCATTTCACTGAGGAATGCGAATGAAAAAAATAAATTATATATCATTCGACACATTTTCTGCTGCTTTTTTATAAAAAAGTGCAAAATGTTTTCGATGATTTACTTCTTTTTTGTCATGTTGTTTCATTTACAGACATGATAGAAACAATAAATTATGTGCAATCTAGAAGAGCAGAAGAAGCTCTATCTTTTGGTTAAAAAACGTTTTGTTTCAGTTCCCTTCTATCGAAGAAAAATATGGATCAACATTTTGTGCCATTACTTTTGCATCCTACGTTATGTCAGCTGTAAAAATAGCTGATAGTATATAATGAATCACATAGATAATTCAATAATCAAGCAATAGTATGCTTTAAATATGTTACTATACATTGATAGAGTTCGCTTGTTGATTCATAACACTATGTCTACATCTCAACTCTGATCGATCAAAAAATACCTATTATAATTATGCTGACAGAAAACTCTCATCCGACCAAAAAAAGAAGAAAAAGCAGGAAGATTAAGGTTACGCTTATTTCAATCGTTTTTAACATCTATGTTCATATATTTTAAGAATAAGGTTCTGTTTTCTCTATATGTTTTTCAATGGCGTAGCCAGGCATTTTTGAGTTATGGGCCGTTTCCTAGCAAAACTATTTTGAGAATTTGACAGCTATGGGCCATTAAAAATGAATTGGGCTGCGATATTTAAATTTTTTTGCTATCACAAAAACTGACGTTTATTGAAGTGAAATTCTTCATCTTCAACTCAATTAAGAGTCGAAGCTGCTTTCTTTCTTGTACTGTTTCATAAATATATATACTTTTCAACTTCCAAATATTCCATCATTTTATATCAAAAAAGCATCCATGAACATAAATAGAACAGAACATAGCATAAGTAAGCATAAATAGAATAGAACAAAAAATAGTATAGATAAACGTAAATAGAGCAATATTTACTTTTTACTTCATTGGATAATGAAGAATGTTAGTTTGCTCTCTTTTGCCGAACAATGACAAGCATTACTGAGCATTTAATACATCATGTAGCTGGTCTCTCCTACTATCTATGTCACCATTTGAATTAGATCCGTACCACATAATATAAAAAAAGATAATGAAAAACAGGGTGTGGGTGTGGATGTGGTGTCCGACGAAGAGAACACCCACACCCTCTAGAAAGAGAATCCCATTAAATCATAAACTGATGAGTTGAAAAATAAGGTATAAATTACCCAAAAACTTAAATAAAGACAATCAAAATCTTTAGAAAATCTACAGAGAGATGTTTCAGTGGTAAATAATGTCAAAAAGACAAATTCTGATGTTCATATTTCGTTATAAATCATCTATCAAAAGTCTTTTTCAAGATATCCATAAATTTCAAAACTAAATTTGGCGGCATCACAAAACTTATGAAAATGCATCAAATTGCATAAATTTATTGAAACAAATACCGATGTGCAAAACTTTTTACATAAATGAGATGCTGTCTGTTTATTATATTAGAAGACCATATTGTTTCCTTGTAAACCAGGCTATTAATGGTTATATTGAAAAATTATTAGATACAATCAATGTTCCATGGATATGTGAAAACAATCTAAATCTTCAACCTGAAGCACTTGAAAGAGTTAAAGCTGATGCAAATCAATCAATGAAATCGGTAAATTATAAAAGAAAAAAAAAATGAATTTCTAAAATAAAAAATATTTATTTTAGGTATCAAGAGAAGAAATCATGCTAATTGATTGAAGTCAGATTATTATTATATTATTGATAGGATATTGTTGAGACGACTGTTGACGCATCTTCTTCATCTGGTGGATCACGTCGAGACCGATCAAGCTTTCTGTTAATGGCTATAGGTGTACAATATGCAAGTTTTCTTCAGTTTGGTAATAGTCTCAATAGTTCATCTGATGATGACTTTCAAATAAAGTCAAAAATTCATGAATTCCTATAATAGATGTATCTTCTTCATTTTAATAAGTGTGAAATACATTATGTCGTTACACTCTCAAGTTGTACTGCATTTAAAACATTTATTTTTGAATTAATTAATAATTTTTGCTCAAGTTATATTAAATTTACTTAATTTAAAGAATCATTAACTAATTTATCACCAACATCATCGTCATCAACTTCAAGAACAATTCGTTCACAAAGTCAAGATCCACCACAAAAATCTTTAACAACAACAATTTCTTTATAGCTATCAACAAATTCAAATACTGTTATGAATGATATGAATTCTTCAACATCATTTGCAGTTAGAAAAGATTCTAAAGAAAATATACAATTACCCACTGGAACATCATCAACAAATAACGATGCATCAGCTATTAAATAAGTAATATTTCTTTTCTATTTTTCTTTTATTATTTGTTTTTATTAATAAATTATATGGTGATACTAAACGAAAAGTTGATCGATTAGAAAGAGATATGGGAGAATGAGATCAAGTTATTGAAAAGCTCGTATGATCATTTTTTTTTTATTAACAAATTTTTAATATTCTATTTCTTCTAGAAAACATCACAACATATTGAATCATCACTTGATAAATGAGTGAGATATTCTCAAGTTTAGAATTCAATAACGTAATTGAGAAGTATTCGAAATCAATCCAAAAGGATTACAATTATAGATCTATGATAATTCATTTTTTAGACATTTGAAAAATATTTCTCATTAATAGGAAAAACGAGTGTGTGAACGAAAGATATCTGAATTAGAAGAAGAATTAAACGTAAGTTATTAAAAATAAAAATGTTGTTAAATATCTAATAAATCTAAATATTTAGAAAATGGACTCAATCAAAGCAGATAATACACGTTTAAAAGAAGAAAATGCTTCATTGATTCGTGTCATCAGTAAACTTTCGAAATGAAAACAAAACAAAAGAAATCCTTTTTGTTGTGTGCGTGTGCTCTAGAGTACTTCTTCTTTTTTCCTTTCTCTCGTGTTATTGTGCAATAGAGCCTTTTGTTTTTCTTTCTTTTTTTGTATTAATCTAATGCTACTATATATAACTTTAGGCACTTGGTGCTACGAATATTGAGACATAGATGCAAAACAACAAGAAGAAAACTCCAAACAAATGATATTTTGCATTGAAGTCTCTCTTAAATGTGTGTGAAAAACAAAATATCAATGAACTAATCTTTCTTATTTGAATAATCTGTATATATAATGTTCAGTGTCTGTGTGTCTCTCTGTGTCTGTGCCGGGTCAAAGGTTAAAGGTCAAATAAGATATAAGGCAGCAAGGCAATGATGGAATAAAGCTACAGGAGAGTAAGGCAACAAGGAAGTAAGGCAATAAAGGGAAGGGCTATAAGGAGTAAGGCTAGACCGGGGAAGGCAACAAGGTGATCAGGCTATAAGGCAGCAAGGCTATAAGGAGGTAAGGGGGTAAGGCTCTAAGGGAGTAAGGCAATAAGGGGATAGGGATATAAGGGAGGAGCGCTATAGGGAGAAGATTCTCTAAGGGGATTAGACTATAAGCGCGTAAGGCTACAAGAGCTACAAGAAATATAAGTCTGCAAGGCGGTAAGACTACATGGGCTATTAGCAATATAAGGATATCACGTCGTAGGGCTTCTATGTACAAAATGTTGAGTGTTTGTATGCCTGTTACCGAGTGAAAGGTTAAAGTTTTGAGGTGGTACGTTAAAGGAGAAAACACTGCCGTGTAGTATGCATGGGTTCTCGCTAGTTTTTATATATCGACATGGTCATATTTGAAATCAGAGAGTAACATAAATCATCTGCACGTGTATGCGAGTTTCTTAGAAGTTCATACGCTTGCATATATGTTCAATATTCGATTATAGTAAGACAACAATTCGAAAATACTGAATTATACCATTGTTAAAGTAACAAACGATACAAATAGATTAGATCGAGTTCATCGATAAGGTCAGTTTTGAAAAGATGACCACCTATCGACCGAGTAAAACACGAGTGAAATAAAAACTACAGAACAATAGACACTCTTATAGATCTCACTAAAATGATAACTACTCGAAAAACACAAAGACTAGAGAGGTCGATCTTTCGATATTCCTCAAGTAGTTCTTAGATCTATTTTAAACTCTATTCAATACATGGATTACTACAGAATGCAGGAAAACAGCAGTGAAACCTTTGACAGATTTTTTTTGGAGACCATTTGTAAGCAGACATATCCGCAAGAAAAACAATATTGAAAACACACTTCGTTTGTTTTTTATTTCTAAAAACTTACATCGCATTACTTCTTTTTTTTTGAACCAATCAAAGATTATTTTATTTAATTCAAACCGTACAACATCTAACATGTTTGAGAGTCTTTATTGATGGTTGAAGAGCGATAAAAGTTTGTTAATCATAAAATGGCATAGATGATGTTCTATCATCGTTCGAATATAAGTTATTTCATCATAATTGGACGCAATTTAATATTTTCCGGAGTAGTTCTTTTAGTAAAACATTTTATTTTTCGCTGTATTTTTATCCGGATCTCCGACAACGATCCAAGAAATACAAAAGGCATAAAAATATTGATAAAATAAGCTAGAAAATAAAAAACGAGTTCGACTTGACCTGTTGCTTCATATGGTAAACCGAAATTATGAGCCACAAGAAGTGACATCATAGGAAGATCGAATAGAAGAAAAACGGCTGAACAAGACATGATTTGTAAAATCATTTTTCGATATTTGCTCCATTGTATATGTTGATGAAGACGTTGTTTTTGTTTGACAAGACGAATAATTAACAAAATATTGATGATAACAATCAGAGGAATGGGTGAGAAAAAATGGAAAACATTTTCATACATCAGAATATTATTATCATAAGAATAACATGGATAAGCACACCAATTTTGTGTGTAATCGAATTTATTTTCACATGATGGAAAAAAAATGACAATTGTATAAAAACTAAGACAATATAGAATGATTATTGTTAGTGGTAAATAATGAATAAGAAAACATTTTATTTGAGTATTAATCCGATGATTATGAAATACAAGAATATGTCGTTCAATTGTAGCCCAAACCATGAGAAAACCAAATAAATTGAAACAAGCTAAATTTACAAAACACCATAAATAACATATGCCTGTTGATTGAGGCCAAACATATCCTAGATGAGTAAATATAAGATAGTTTGGAATGTCAAGAAGTAAAAACGCTAGTCCAACGATGAGAAGTGCAATAATAACATGATTATTCAATGCATTTCGCAGTTTTCGATCAAAGAACAAATTGTAGAGAAGAAAAAAAGAACAGATTATAGATGGTATTAAAAATATAAGCATAATCCAAAAACAAGCCATTGGTGGTACAGAGGTAAATAATATTGTAATTGATGAAGGTTCAGTATCATTAACTTCAATGATGAAGCTATCGTTTACAGAGATAGCAGTCATGATCACTTCTGAAAAAAAACTGATAGCCAAAATGTCAATCGAAAAATATGATCTTGTTTGTCTATAGTGTGTTTACAAGTGTTGTAGTAATGCACATCTTTTTATGATCTTTTATAAAGTAATACAATGAGAGAAAGATAATATTTATGTCAACAGATTTAATGACACATTGTGTATGAGGATAATGTTTTGACACTTTCTTACTTTCTATCATCATGCACTAGAGAGAACACTCACTCATTATTAATATTGAATGAAATAAAATGAATTATTTCTATTTACTCGAATGAGAATTTATCTATGAGATCATCAAGTATTATTATTTACACTCTAAAAGATAAAGCCATATTGAGAGCTCCAGGTAATGGCATAATCAAGGACTGTTGAGAACCTACCAAGTGGAATCACACCAGTTAAGCTTCACCAAATGTCTTTCACTGTCAAAACCATAGACACACTACTATCTCTACGTGAAGTAGATGATGATGTGAATTTGATACGTTCGCAGTATGTAGTTTTGTATGATTGGACACGACTCTATACAAAGCTACTTCACTGGAAAATATCTTGAAATCCTATCTTATAATTCAACATTTTAACATACACAACTATTTCTTTTGTCAATCTCCATGATAGAATCAATAGTTAACAAATCTTCAGTATAGAGATGTACTACCATTACTTTTAAGAATTTTTATTATCAAATTGATCTACTGCCTGGCATAGAAATAGAAGAACTCGAAAAAACACTCTTATACGAACTTTTGTTCAAATAATCGTCTCTGTTTGCTATACTTGTTTTTTTATTAAGATGACATGATAAAGATAATGATTCAATGTAGTATTAAAAATATATCTTTATCGAAAGAAGGAAATGAAAGACAAAGCGTTTTTAAAAAAATCTCTATGACATTCATATTTTTATCATTCTTGTCATGTTTAAATGACAATAAAGTTGTGACAGATAACATTGTTTCGCTACAAAGATGTTGGAATTTGTAGATAGAGTGTGTTTCTGTATGAGAAAAGAATCTGTCATCTAAGTGAAAGAAATTATAATTACACAGAAAAATATTGCAAGACATGGATATATACAAAAAAATATTTTTAGAAAGCAAATAATTTGTCGCGAAGAATTTGATAATCAAATAGAACATAAAATGTCATTAATTTTTTGTTTAAACTGATATTACATCCTGGAGTCGGGTTCGACAGTTGGAAAACGTCGGATACGCCTGAAATTCGATGGGATGATGTTGAATTTAGATTTGGACATTACACACTGTTTGCCTCCTCCCCATCCTCCCATCATCACCCTTCTCTCGTAGGATTAGCTGAAAATTAATAGTGTTAATGTACTTTATTGTAACTTATTGTAACATTCTTTTGTTCAATAACAAATTTAGGACGAAGAGAAAAAAAAAGTAAAATCAATAATTTATATCCACTTTTTATGGACTTCTTGGTATAATAGAGTCTGAAGTGAAAAATAAAATAGAAAAAATAATTTACTGTCTGGTAAATTGATTACATAATTTAATTTAAAATTAAAAAAATAATGTATACTAGCTATTTGTTTATTTGTATAGCTCATTTGTCACCGTAAACAGTCGTTTAGGAGCGTGAATGTTTTACCGAGATTAATAAAAAACGCCTTCGCGTTGTTATAAAAAGTATACCAATATATTTCACATGTTGTCTAATAATTACAAAAAACCAAAACTGGATGCTACAATACCATCGAATTTTGTCGGATCCGGCAAGTACTCACTGTCAGATAGTGTATGAATGTT